GCACCCGGCAGCGATTCGCCATGAAGAAGATCAACAAGCAGAATTTAATCCTGAGGAACCAGATCCAGCAGGCCTTTGTGGAGAGGGACATCCTGACCTTTGCCGAGAACCCCTTTGTGGTCAGCATGTTCTGCTCCTTCGAGACCAAGCGCCACTTGTGTATGGTGATGGAGTATGTGGAAGGTGAGTGCCAGTCCGACGCTACCCTCCTGAAGAATATTGGCGCCCTCCCCGTGGACATGGCCAGGATGTATTTTGCAGAGACGGTTCTCGCGTTGGAATATCTCCATAACTACGGAATCGTCCACCGAGATCTGAAGCCCGATAAGTAAGTCTGTCTCCTGGCCGCGTCCCTCGTGCCTCTTATAAGCGACGTTGTCATGTGCCGGGGTGTAAAATGCGTTGTCCTTCTGTTCCTCATTCCACAGCCTCCTGATCACCTCCATGGGGCACATCAAGCTGACGGATTTCGGGCTTTCTAAGATTGGGCTGATGAGTCTAACGACCAATCTGTATGAGGGACACATAGAGAAAGACACGCGAGAGTTTTTGGATAAACAGGTGAGATGACGGGTTCCCCTCCGGTGCTAGGGGCAGGACGGGGCATTATCGGGAAGCCTTCGGCTTGTCCTGCGTCTGTAACGTTAAGAATTGATCTTTGTCCCCCCCGGCACAGGTATGCGGCACCCCAGAATACATTGCCCCCGAGGTCATCCTGAGGCAAGGCTATGGGAAGCCCGTGGACTGGTGGGCAATGGGTGTCATTCTGTTTGAGTTTTTAGTGGGCTGCGTCCCCTTCTTTGGAGACACCCCGGAAGAGCTGTTTGGACAGGTGATCAGTGGTAAGTCATTCTTATGTCCCATTATGTACTCTATATGGCCAAATGTATGAGGACCCCCCCCCCTCCTCCAATGACGGGGTTCAGGGGTCTCCGGTGAAGGTTCTGTTCATCCTCCATCATACAAAGACATTGTAGACAATTGTCCTCCTCCAGCCTTGTTGTCACAGTTTGGTGAAGACCCTTTTCTGTCCCCCCCATGACTGTCCCCCGTGTACAGAGCCACCTCCATATAGACATGGGGGGAGGGGGGGCTCCATACAGACACGGTGTGACCAGTGTGGTGGAGGAACTCGAGTGTCCTGCACAGACCCCTGACCTCAACCCTATGGAATCTATGGAACACCCTATGGAACACCCTAACCCGACCTCAACCCTATGGAACCTAGGAACACCCTATGGAACACCCTAACCCGACCTCAACCCTATGGAACCTAAGAACACCCTAACTCGACCTCAACCCTATGGAACCTAGGAACACCCTAACCCGACCTCAACCCTATGGAACCTAGGAACACCTTATGGAACATAAGTGTTCCATAGGTTTATTGAGTTCAGGTGTAGAAGGCCAACTCTATACAGACATGGTGTGACCAGCTTGGTGGAGGAACTCGAGTGTAAACTATATGGCCATAGGTGCCCCCCATCCTTCAAATGGTTGATTCAATGGGTTTCCAGTGCCAGGTACTGTTAATGCTAATCATTGTATAAAGACACGGTGTGACCAGTTTGGTGTGGAGGACCTTTGGGTGTCCTGTTAAGAGACCAGACCTCAACCTAGGAGGTCACCTGCTGATAAGGGGAGTGCAGGCACGCCTGTGTCCTGTAAGTCCAATTAGCAGATGAAAGACGTATACGGACCAGGCCAGCATGGTATCTCCTCCCAAGCTTAGTGTGGTCAGGACGCAAGGGGAGTGGCAGGATCACCAGGTATTTAAAGTGCATTGCACACACTACATTAAATAAAACTGTATATGAGTTATGAGGAACAGAGGAATGTTATTATTATACAGGATTTGATATGGCGCCAACAGTGTGCACGGCGCTGTACAATATAAGGAAGACATTACAATCACTATAAAAATCAAGACACGATGGTGAGGAGGGCCCCGCCCCTGAGGGCTTACACTCTAAAAGTATTTATTTGAAGGTGTACATACACTTTAAGTGACTCTGCATTGGTCACACAATGTCTCCGACTACTAAAAACATGAATTCCACGAGCCTTAGAACTCTGAGAAAAGAAGAGGAGGAGGCTTTGCCAGCTGATGCCCAGGATCTCATCTTCAGACTCCTCCGCCAAAACCCCCTGGAGCGAATGGGTACAGGTGGGCGCCGTGCTGATGCTTTATTATAATCACCCGTCTGTATAATATTCACCCGTCTGTACTATATAATAGTAACCTGTCGCTTGTCTCTGCCGTGATGTCAAGGTGGAACCTTTGAGGTGAAGCAGCACCGGTTCTTCAAGGATCTGGACTGGAACGGACTCCTCCGACAGAAAGCCGAGTTCATTCCGCAGCTGGAATCGGAGGATGACACCAGTTACTTTGACAGTAAGACTTCCTGACATGCTGCAAATCCCCCCGGCTAAGGCCGGCCACAAACCGCCGGATAAAAGCAATGTCCTTGCCTTCTCCTGTGACTATAGGGCTGGTGCCGCCCTGCTGGTGGGTGATGAGATCTACTGGGAGGTTCCCTGGGAGCAGTGTATGAGCTTCAGGTTTTTAGTGTGTAGAGAGTTAAGGTAAAAAGTTCTATGTGTGAATTGTGGCTGGTTCTGGAGCTCATATTGGGACAGGTGGAGGGATTGTGGTGGGTCCCGGAGATCATGGTAGGTCAGGCGGATGAATTGTGGTGGGGTCCGGAGATGATGGTAGGTCAGGCGGATGAATTGTGGTGGGGTCCGGAGATGATGGTAGGTCAGGCGGATGAATTGTGGTGGGGTCCGGAGATGATGGTAGGTCAGGCGGATGAATTGTGGTGGGGTCCGGAGATGATGGTAGGTCAGGCGGATGAATTGTGGTGGGGTCCGGAGATGATGGTAGGTCAGGCGGATGAATTGTGGTGGGGTCCGGAGATGATGGTAGGTCAGGCGGATGAATTGTGGTGGGGTCCGGAGATGATGGTAGGTCAGGCGGATGAATTGTGGTGGGGTCCGGAGATGATGGTAGGTCAGGCGGATGAATTGTGGTGGGGTCCGGAGATGATGGTAGGTCAGGCGGATGAATTGTGGTGGGGTCCGGAGATGATGGTAGGTCAGGCGGATGAATTGTGGTGGGGTCCGGAGATGATGGTAGGTCAGGCGGATGAATTGTGGTGGGGTCCGGAGATGATGGTAGGTCAGGCGGATGAATTGTGGTGGGGTCCGGAGATGATGGTAGGTCAGGCGGATGAATTGTGGTGGGGTCCGGAGATGATGGTAGGTCAGGCGGATGAATTGTGGTGGGGTCCGGAGATGATGGTAGGTCAGGCGGATGAATTGTGGTGGGGTCCGGAGATGATGGTAGGTCAGGCGGATGAATTGTGGTGGGGTCCGGAGATGATGGTAGGTCAGGCGGATGAATTGTGGTGGGGTCCGGAGATGATGGTAGGTCAGGCGGATGAATTGTGGTGGGGTCCGGAGATGATGGTAGGTCAGGCGGATGAATTGTGGTGGGGTCCGGAGATGATGGTAGGTCAGGCGGATGAATTGTGGTGGGGTCCGGAGATGATGGTAGGTCAGGCGGATGAATTGTGGTGGGGTCCGGAGATGATGGTAGGTCAGGCGGATGAATTGTGGTGGGGTCCGGAGATGATGGTAGGTCAGGCGGATGAATTGTGGTGGGGTCCGGAGATGATGGTAGGTCAGGCGGATGAATTGTGGTGGGGTCCGGAGATGATGGTAGGTCAGGCGGATGAATTGTGGTGGGGTCCGGAGATGATGGTAGGTCAGGCGGATGAATTGTGGTGGGGTCCGGAGATGATGGTAGGTCAGGCGGATGAATTGTGGTGGGGTCCGGAGATGATGGTAGGTCAGGCGGATGAATTGTGGTGGGGTCCGGAGATGATGGTAGGTCAGGCGGATGAATTGTGGTGGGGTCCGGAGATGATGGTAGGTCAGGCGGATGAATTGTGGTGGGGTCCGGAGATGATGGTAGGTCAGGCGGATGAATTGTGGTGGGGTCCGGAGATGATGGTAGGTCAGGCGGATGAATTGTGGTGGGGTCCGGAGATGATGGTAGGTCAGGCGGATGAATTGTGGTGGGGTCCGGAGATGATGGTAGGTCAGGCGGATGAATTGTGGTGGGGTCCGGAGATGATGGTAGGTCAGGCGGATGAATTGTGGTGGGGTCCGGAGATGATGGTAGGTCAGGCGGATGAATTGTGGTGGGGTCCGGAGATGATGGTAGGTCAGGCGGATGAATTGTGGTGGGGTCCGGAGATGATGGTAGGTCAGGCGGATGAATTGTGGTGGGGTCCGGAGATGATGGTAGGTCAGGCGGATGGATTGTGGTGTACAATAAGATAGACCTGGAATGAGATGCTTTTGTGACACCTCTGCTCAGGTTGCTGCAGTTCCTGATGCAAAGTGTTTCGTACGTCCTCTTACACTGCAGAGCAGATTGAAATTGTTCCGCTTCTTCTCACCTGTGTTTTGTGTTTGTTCACACAGCTCGCTCAGAGAAATATCAGCATTTGGACTCGGAGGAGGAGGATGATACGAATGATGAGGATCGCTTGGAAATCAAACAATTCTCTTCCTGTTCACCCCGATACAGCAAGGTGACTATAACATTGCTTCTATAGAGAGGAGAGCGATGGTGACCATAGGAACCAGTAACGGGAAATGTGTCCCGGAGAGCTCAGATCTTTCAGTATAGACCAGGGGCAGCCAAACTCCGGCCCTCCAGCTGTGGGTGAAACTACAAATCCCATGATGCACCTCTCTCCGGGAGTCATGTCTGTGGGTGTGAGAATCTTGCAATGCCTTATGGGATTTGTTGTTCCACCACAGCTGGAGGGCCGGAGTTTGGCCGCCCCTGGTATAGACGTGTGCCATAGACCCGAGAGCTGCAATCTGGAAATATAGACATTTTCTAGAAGTCCGTTGTACTGGACATTCCCAATAGGGCAGGGATGGCCAAACTGCTGCCTTTCAGCTGGGGGTGGAACTACAAATCCCATGAGGCTTTGCAAGATTCTCACAGCCACAGACACGACTCCCAGAGAGAGATGCATCATGGGATTTGTAGTTTCACCCACAGCCGGGGGGGGGGCCATCCCTGCAATAGAAGGAAAATTGTAGGACTGCAGCGCCACCTTGTGTTCAAAGCTCAGTACTGAACTCGCAGTCTCTGCTCTCTCATTTGATGTCTGCACACGATTTGTAAACATCAGTCTCTAGAAATAAAGTTTTTATTCTTAATTCGGAGAGAAACGTTTAATTTTCCAGTTCATAAAAAGTTATTGTTCTCTATGGATGCAGAAGGTTCATCCTGTCCTAGAGAACATGGTGCAGGTTTTGTTATAGGCAGCAGCACGTCTGTCCCTCGTAGATGGGATCAGCCAAGTGTCAGCGACTCTTATTAGTATTATACAGGATTTATATGTCGCCAACAGTGTGCACAGCGCTGTACAATATAAGGAAGCCATTACAATACAAGACAATTGACAAGATGGTAAGGAGGGCCCTGCCCCTGAGGGCTTACAATCTAAAGGGGAGGGGCCAGTGATACATGAGGAGGGAGCTGTGTGGGGATGAATGGTTGAGCGGTTAGGTTGAGGTGGGATCGGCTTCCCTGAAGAGATGAGTCTTTAGGGAACGCCTAAAGGCAGTCAGAGTGAGAGATAGATGGCCAGGTTGGGGTAAAGAGTTCCAGAGGATGGGAGAGACTCTAGGGAAGTCTTGGAGGCAAGTATGGGAGGAGTTGACGAGGGAGCTGGAAAGCAGGAGGTCTTGGGAGGAGCAGAGGGGATGGTTAGGGTGATACTTTGAGACCAGGTTGGAGATATAGCCGGGGGCGGAGCTGTGGACGGAGCTCTTATGTGTTCTGCAGTCTGTAGAGAGACCTGGAAATAGGAAACGTGATTTGGGGGGGGGGTGAGGTCACGTGAAAACAAAGATAGGGATTGCCCAGCCCGAGTGTCTCTGCCACCTCCTGGCTTTATTGGTTCACTGTCTCGGTCTGTTTCCAGGCATACAGCAGTATGGAGCGCCTATCCATTCATGAAGAGAAAACTCCGCCCCCTACGAAGCGCAGCCTCAGCGAGGAGAAGGATGACAAGCTGGATAACCTGGGGGGGCTGAAGAACAGGGACCGGGGCTGGATCATCGGATCACCAGAAATGTAAATATTTTTCCCCCGTCACATCACTATGGAGGGACGTGGCAGGAAAACTCACCGGCAGACGCAGTGGGAGGGGTTTGTTTAGAGGCCCATCGCACGCTTGTGACCCTGATGCTGGCGACAGAAATTCTCAACCGTTTCCATTGGGGCCGCGGAAATTAAAGATTAATTTATCGATTAATCGTTGAACTTTTTGATCGATTTATTATTATTTTAATTAGTAATGAAAACACTCACCACTCCGCCGGCTTCCGGGAGCCCCGTCGGCGATCCGGTGACGTCACGGACATCGACGTCACCGGACTCCTCCCCCCTTCCCAGCCCGGCATTCTGATTGGCCCGGAAAGCCGGCGTCATGCTCCCTCGTCATCTCATGAATCATAATATTAAGAAAGTGACCTTAAAACATTAGTTTGTATTGCTTTAGAAAAAATGTGACCTGTCCCTTTAAGAAAAAGTATCGGTAATTGGTATCGGCGAGTACTTGATCAAAGGTATCGGTACTCGGTCTTAAAGTGGTATCGGTGCATTCCTACTGGTTACCATCTCCCCCCGTTCTGTCACTTTAACACACAACCTGCTGTTAGTTGCACCTCTCTTGTAACACGCTGATCAGAGGCTTAGTCACAGCTGTCATCTCTATCCTTTCCTTCTCCTTGTAGCCTCCGGAAGCGTCTCTCTGCCTCGGAGTCATCCCACACTGAGAGCGATTCCAGCCCACCGCTGACCGTGCGCCGGCGCTGCGCCACTCTGGCCGATATGCCGCGTTTCGCCATCTCTACTGAAGAGGAGCTCCGCTTGCAGAAGAAACCAGCTCAGCGTGAAATCTCTTCAACGCCGACTTCCTTCTCCAAAGACGGAGCCGCGCAGCCTGTGGAGCGAGAACTGAAAATGGATGAAGATCTGGGACCGAATACTCCATCCTCAACCATCAGCAACATCAGCAGCTCCACCACACTGACTGGTAACGACCCATCACTGCGTGTGAATGAACCCACCTCGTGGGTTTAGGAAGTGGGGACAATATCTCATGTATGTTAGAAGCCGATGATGGAAGCTGCCAGTCTGTGACTGCAGGCCACGTGTTGCTCCAAGAGCCGTGGCACAGCTTCTGCAGCTGAAGTTTTCCTGGCA